ATCTAAAAATATTGAACTTCTATAAATTAACACTACAAACAAAATTTCTCGTTAATAAAGTAGAATTAAAAATAGTCAAAATAGTACATATGTTTTTTAATTTACATTAAAAAATAGATAAACGGTGCTGACAAGTTTAAATTGTCATCTTATAGGTAAATCATCACCCTGCTAATGTGCCATATATTACGATCTTGTTTTGTAATTATTGAATGTGAAAAAGCATGATTAGGCCATAGAAAGCATTTATGTTAAATTAAAAGAATTTATTACTTCCTGAAATATTGGCATTGTTCTAATAAAAGTACGGCTCATTGACAATAACAAATATTGGTGTCACTCAATTTTCATGTTTTGCGTCACATGATATGACGTAATAGCTCTCCATAGCAACAAAATGTTTTTTTCGTATTTATAAAAATATTTTTTACCTATAGGAAGAGGATTAAATAAAGCTATCAAAATCATATAAAAACATATGCTGGTAATTTGTACTACATAAAAAATGGGGTGCTATAAATTTAAAAAACTGCGGGGTAATTAAGGAAATTAACACTACAAACAAAATTTCTCGTTAATAAAGTAGAATTAAAAATAGTCAAAATAGTACATATGTTTTTAAGTTTGCATTAAAAAATACATAAACATCTTATAGGTAAATCAAAACGTTATGTCAAAATTACAATATATAATCAAGAGATAATAGCACCCCCTGAAAATACTATATTGACGGTTTTAATCATAGTATTCTAGTAAAATAAGTGAAATGGAAGAAATTTGTTTAACGAAAAGGTTCAAACATCCCAAGATTTCATTCTAATATTTAAAATCCTTTTAAATCTTTGAAAAATATGTTCAAAGTAACGTGTTTATAAGCTAGCATTATAATTAAATTCCATCTACTAAATTTCTACGGTCATATATAGTGTTTTTTTGGTAGCTCACATCATTATTTGTACATCCGTTAAACATTCGCATACCAGGGTAGACAAGTTCAGTTTTTAAGCACTTGCAACTTTTATTACTACAGTCTCCTTTACAGCAACAACACTTTTAAACGTGCTATTAATGCCGGTACGTTTTCCGTCATAATGGGCTGTTTCGCATTCATAATGGGTTGATTCGCTGTTTAATTCCCTGACATACTCCGCAAGCAATGATTTTTTATATGGATTTTAAAACAGGCGCAAAAATATTTATACATATTATACAGTAGATATTCTTACTTCAGTGACTCCAAAGTTAATTCACTAAACAAGCTTTTATACAGTAAAAAAGTTACTCCAATATTTCAGTGAACTAGCAAGAATAGGCAGGCTTAGTGTTACTGTCGGACAACTGAAATTAAGGTGTAAATAGCACTCAATGTTGAAAGTTCTTTTTCGAAAACATAAAAAGTTACTAAAATTCACTTGATGGTCTAAAATGAAGAAATGACCAATGAATGCAGACACTCAACATCTTGAAAATTCTTAGGTGTATATTTAAATGTAAAACATTTTGTGTGCTGTAACTTGAGCATCATCCATTTGGCATTCAGTTTTAAAACATATGGTTCCCTGAAATTCAGGTTTCCTGTTACAGTGACATTTTTATATTCAATATTATAAATTAAAAATTGCAGTGGGTTTCATATTTTACTATCAGGAGGAGCAAATTCACTTAAATTTATTGACAATGTTTTAATTTTTGAAACCATTTTCAGTCTTTACAATCTTTACTTTTCTTTTTATCAAAGAAAATTAAGTCCAAGATAACACAGAGAAACCGTAAAGCAGTGATAGCACGCTTACCTCAGAAGCGCGCTATTACTGTTCTACGGTTCAGAAGAAATCTGTGGTTCGAACTGACCTATGGGCAACTTTTACTACATCGGTTGGGCAACTATTATATATACTATAACTAACACCTAAAATAATACTATAACAACTATTATAATACTATAACTAACACCTATGGGCAACTTTTACTACATCAATCCTAACCCTGAAGGCATGAACTTTCTGTTAAATGCTTTTTTGTGGTGCTAGGTGATAAGACCCGTAAGGACTTCGTACGGCACCTAAAATTAAAGTTTAAAAAATAAAGAAAAAAGATCTGACAAGTATTCCATCAGCTGTTTGTTAAGTATTCCTTTATGCACATTTTGTCCGAGACCAATTGCAAACGTGTTATAGTGACATAACTGAAATTATTTTTCATTTTCGATCAGTGTGAGATTTTGCTTCTTGCTTTTTGCAGCTTTTCCAATAATTTGTGAAATGTTTTAAACACGGTTAACAATGGATTTTTTCAACATTAATTGAGTTTAAACTTTGTATTGGTCCGAGTGTTAACCATCTTAGCAAAGAAAATAAGGATATTGGAGTAATAAAACTAGTGAAATTTCCTCCAAACTATGATTTTTTCTGCGGCAAAGGTTTCTAAATTATTTTTGCTGCTTCAAAATATTTTGCATAATCAGCCAAATTATTTTCAAAAGTGTCAACTATTATAGATTCATGGGCGCCCGCAAGGAGGGGGGGGGGCGAGAGGGGGGACTTGCCCCCCCTGTATTTTCTTAATGTAGAAAAAAATTTTCTTGTTTGTAACGTTCTTCATGCCATAAAGTTTGTTACTAAATTTTTCTGTAAAAAATATCTTTTGTGATACTTCCTTACAGTTTCGGAAAAAACCTAATTAAGTTTTTTCCGAAATAATTAATTGCTTATTTGTATGAAAAACACGATATTTTTCAATCTTAGCATGTTTCGTAGTTTACACACTACATTTTCAAAACGGTGCTGACAAGTTTAAATTGTCTTCTTTTTTCTACGGACAAATAATTTTTTTCTTCTCTTTGTTTTATATCTTCATATCTTGATTTTTGCATAATAGATAACAGGATAGAAAGCAATAACAAAAAATGTTTTGCCCCCCCCCCCTCCTTAGAAAATTTTCTGCGGGCGCCTATGTATAGATTGGAATTGCAAAAAAAATACTGACATGTTTTGTTGTTAAAACCTCTTCAAATAACGTTTATAATTTACCTCAGTCTGATCATTATTTCAATATATTGTACGGGTTATTGATTTTTTTCAAATCCATAGCAAAACTATCTTCATTTAAGTTTTAATGGATTAAACTAATGAAAAAAAAACAAACAGAAACATAACACCTCCTCGAAAAACTGGATAAAAACTAATTCCAGATAATCGATAACCGTCCAATGTTCAATTCTTAAATTTCTTCTTAGATAGTTGTCAATTTAATAGATTTCTGTACTTTTATGGAACATTTAATGGTACTTGACAGCATTTGCATTGATGTCATCAAAACTCGTGATTGCTAAATCTAAGAAAAAATTCCTGATCTGCTTGGAAACTCTCAATATTTTTTTTCCAGTCTCTGTAACCCCACCTTTTTGAGTTTTACCAAAAAGGTTTTTTACGATCTTCTTGAAGTCTTGCCCGTATAATATTATAAATCTTAGTGTAAATAATATTATACGGCAAATAAAATAAAAATAAATAATAATAGATTTAAAGAAATATATATCTGGGGGAAAACTAAGTAACAGATTTTTTCCATAATATAAACTTCGTAAGAATTATCATTAAATGGATAATTTTGTTAATAAAAACGCAAAATTAGTGTCTAAGACGTTATTTTGAATTTGATGTAAATTACAAAGCAAACTCTAAACGCTTTTACCCCGGTTTAATAAAAATTTATTTACCCCTGTATCTCTTTAAGTAAAAAGTTTCAACATAAGTTTTCTATATTATTTTGATTACCTGAATTACGCTCTTTCAATTGGTATATAAAAACAATTTTTTAGTTGCAATGGGGACCATATAAGTCATACCACCTGACACACAAAATGAAAATTGAGTGACACCTGTCATTTCTCAAATCATCATCATGCATCAAAAAAATTATTATCAACAAAAAGTTTGCTTTTAACATGTATGTGTTGGACATATTTTCGCGTCACGGTTCCGCGGTGCTCTGTGACAAGACCATTAGGTCTTCTTGGGGCATCTAAAAAAAATAAAAAAAAAGGGTGGTAATATGTTAAAACATGAAAGCTAGGTGCTCGTAAGTGGTTATTTCACCTTATCTATCGTTAAAGTTTTGCTAATGTTTACTTTTTTTTTGTAAATAATTCTACATTCATTTTTTCGCATAGCATAAAAAAAGTATTAAAATTTTTAAAATAGTTTAAAAATTTTTAAATTAATAATAATCATTTTTTCGCATATATATTTTAGGTAACGTTTTGAATAATCTGTACTAGATCCATATTTGCATAATTAACAATAGTTAATTAAAAATAATAATTTTAGACTTTATGTATTTACTTATGATCAAGTCTATTAGTGTCAATGATTTTTCATTAAATATATTTTTTGAGAGTAAGTTAAAATAAATGTCACTAATAATTATATTATTTTATAGATTCTTGGTGTTTAATTTCTTTATGATATTTAAAAATGAAATCTATAGAAAGGTATTATAATGATATTTTTAATGATATAAAGCACGACTTATTTTTATGACGTTTAGTGAGAGTTTATTAGCCCCAAATCAATCAGCCTTTTTTTTCAATCTTATTCACTACCCAAGGTACAATCAAAGAGACTTCTTTTTTTGTGGTCACAACCCTCTCTCAAATCTTAAACTCCGAAACACGAAAACTTAACAAATAAGATTGCTGCGTAGAGAAATAAGTTTAGGGCAGTACTAACAGGGACATGGTGGGGATCGAACTTGGGACTTCTCGCTTACGAAGCAAGCGCTCTACAACTACGCCACTACCGCATCACCATTAAACTATGTTTAATTCAAAATACATGCCTGCATTTCAATGAATCAGTTACATCAAAAAGATATATCAAGAGAGTTACTTATATGCTTATATTATATACGATATTATGAATTTATTTTCGAACCTGACTCCAACACGAAATTATTAATTTTATTTTATATTACGTAAATTTAAAAAAGAAAAAAACAAATTGTATGTATCATTCATATACTTTTTGTCGAACAACCTTGTTACAACAGATGAAAGTAATAAAAAAATACGCCCTTCGCCTTGATCATATAAGAAAAACACAAACGTTTAATTTGCATAAATTCTATAATTTTAAAACTTTACTATTTTATTTATTTTTTATGTTATGATAATAAAAAAGTGTAATTGATGTCAACGAAATAAAACGCAAAAAAGCACGCCGCTCCGCCCAAAAAAAATATGTATATATATATATATATAAAATAAACTATAAAACTAATAATGTTCTATGATTTTTTTGTCCTCTGTGCCAGCCATTCAATACCTTGATAAAGACTAAAAATTCAAGTTAAGCCTGTTAAAATCATATGAAAATAAGTAATAAATAACATATTTGAAATAGGTAAAAAATAAAAAGATTGAAAACATACCCTTCTCCAGAAAGTGCACAACATGCCTAAACAAAGTTTTCATAATCTTCATTTTTAAATATCTTTTAACAAAAAGCATATCTAAGTTTAGTTTTAACTATACATACTAACATAACCACAAAAGAGTACCTGCAGATGCCAACCATGATCACGTATAGATGTTAAATTTAACTGCTCAGACAATTCAGCAGCAGACATAGAACCCTACAAAATGTTTATCAAAAAAATAAACTTTCAATTTACTTATTTTAATCTTTGAATCCATAATTATTAAGTTGGAGAGTCAGATCTTATATTTAGATATAGCTCTAGAAATAAAATATAAACTTAATAAGATAATTAAGAATTACAAGTATATAAAATTGAATTACATTTAAAAGCTTTCAATTAACCTCAATATTTTGTGTATTTTAGGGTGATTAAGCATTTACATTATTTGCAATATATACTTAACAATTATATATACATATATTATTAACATTCATATATATGAATGTTATATATACATATATATAACATTCATATATACATATATATAAATATATATATAAATATATATATATATATATACATATATATATATATACATATATATATATATATATATATATATATATATATATATATATATATATATATATATATATATATATATATATGTATATATATATATATATATATATATATATATATATATATATATATATATATATATATATATATATATATATATATATATATATTAGGGCTGTTCAGTACGCTAATTTGTTTTGAGAACATAGCTAATTGAAGTTTTTCCCATTAAACTATCATATTGTGGTTCAAAAATATTTTTTACTAAATTTTTTTATTTGCCCTAAAGGTCCCTCAAAGCCCCCAAACATTTGACAGGTCCCTAATATTATTAAAAAAAAAATTATTTAAAAATATGTCAACCTGGTACTCAAAAGAAGCAAAATCATTTAAAAATTTCAAAAACAAAAAATGTTTTTTTATAAAAATAACAATTTTAGGTTTTTTTGAATAAAAACTATGGTTTTTAAACGAAAAATGAAAAAAAGGTTATATTCACAACATTTTTAATAAGTTTTTTTAAGTTGTTTTTTATAAAAAATGAATCTAATCTTTAAAATTTTTATAAAATTTGCTTCTTTTGAGTACCAAGTTGACATATTTTTAAATAATTTTTTTTTTAATAATATTAGGGACCTGTCAAATGTTTGGGGGCTTTGAGGGACCTTTAGGGCAAATAAAAAAATTTAGTAAAAAATATTTTTGAACCACAATATGATAGTTTAATGGGAAAAACTTCAATTAGCTATGTTCTGAAAACAAATTAGCATACTGAATAGCTCTAATATATATATATATATATATATATATATATATATATATATATATATATATATATATATATATATATATATATATATATATATACACCCACAGAAAACTAGTCTGAAATATCAAAATAAAGTATTAAATAAACATACCTTAACGTCTTGCTTATTTGCAAATATGAGCAAACTGGCATGTCTTAATTCCTAAATGAGGGATCTCAAATTATAAATATCTAAACAATTGAAGCAAAAATTTCATATATAAAGCTTTAATACCTCATGAGACAACATATTATATAATTCTGATTTTGTAATGTGCAACCTTTCACGATCTGTGCTGTCAATTACAAATATAAGAAACTAAAAAAAAAAAATTGAAATAAATTAATAATATGGAATAACAGGTGTACACTTAAAACCGGTTTTTGGAGGAGGTGTTATGTTTCTGTTATTGAGGCTTATTCAATCAATAATATTTAGATACTAGAAAAAGTAAAAAAAAAATAAGAAAATAAGAAAAATCATATTATATTACTGAATTTAAAAAAATGCTGAATATAAAAAAAAATATATAGAAGTTAAACTCCTAGCTACAAAAATAAATACAAGCGGTAATAGTACAAAAAAAAGTTTAATAAACAAAAAATTAGTAGAGAATAGTAGGCAATATATTTATTTTTTTACTTTTGCGATTGAAATAATGCTTTCTTTGCGCATACATTGTACAAGATTTTTATCAATTTTTTTAAACAAAAACAGATTCTTAATTGCAGTTACTGATTTTCAGCTTCCTAATTGTTTTTTATACACTTAGCCTTTAAGGATGCACCAATAGGTCGTTATTCTGGGTCACACAGGAGCCTGCTGGCTCCAAAAAGCTGCTGTAAGATTTTTTTTGCAGAGGAGTCTCATAAATGAATAATAAAGGCGAACCTGCTTCAGTGAACTCTTTAACAAAAAAATTTATCTTTTTTTTAATGAAAATACTCGACAATAAAAAATATACTGGAAGAAAACAATAAACAGCTATATTGGAAGATAATAAAAAATAGTTATACATGCAGATAAGAATAAATAGCAATACTGGAAGATAGTAATAAGTAGCTATACCGGACAACAAATAGTTAGTTGAAGATAACAGTTATAACAACAAATAGTTAGTTGAAGATAACAGTTATAACTAATGATATTAGTTGTAATGAAATAGTTTTTAAGGAATTGTAATTTTTTATTGTAAAAATATAAGTAAATAATAATTGAATTTGGAAAAAGTTAGTTAAAGATAATAATTTAAAAAATCTAACCAAATAGCAAACAAAAAACAACAACAATGTATTAATGCACTTTTATTGCTTAGAGTTTTGTTAACACAATGTTTAAATAATTACTGTTAATTTAGTTTAAATAAATTTTTACTTTTTTGAATTTTATTTCTGTAAGAATATATTCTAGCAAAATTCAGTAATTTGTAAAATAAAATTAAAAAATCATTTGTAGTACAACTATAAATCAATGATTAAAACTAATTAATTAATCAATTATCACCAATTTTGTTTCTGGTTCTGAAATAAAATCCAGAAGTATCTGTTATTGGACACCTTGCCCAAGAAAATTATTGCCCATAATGTGATGACAAACATAAGACATGCTGTGTCACTTATGAACAAAACAAATAGTCAACTTAATGAAAAAAAGTGTTTAGAGCTTGGTATAAATTATGTTAAAATTTATGCTCCTGTCAGCAACAAGTGGAATTCTAAATGCTGTCTGCAGACGTCAATCCTAAAATATGTGTTGGTTCCTCTTGTTAATGTAGTAAAAAATAATTCGCTAAGTTATTTCATGTTACATCCAGCTCTCACTAATGGATGATACTAATTTTAAAAATGGTATATACTGGTGATACTAGTTTTAAAAATACTAGTAATAAAAATGATACTAGTCTTAAAAACAATCAAGATTTTGTTCAATTGTTCAAAAGAAAACTGAGTCAGTGCTGTATCATTGCCATTTAAAATTGTAACATTGCCATTTAAAACTGACAATTTTCTCCCAAACCGCATCAATTTTGTCAAAATCTAAAAATTACAAAAAGCCATGCAATAAATAATTCACAACCAACAACTTTGGGACATTTCACTTTTATTTTAATAAAAGTAATAACTTTTTTTTTCCTTTTTGTTTCATTATAAAAGAACAATTCTAGTTTAAAGAAAATATTTTTTATTTAAAATTTTTCATAAAAATACTAAATTTTTTATTCAAAGAAAAATTTTCTCAGCAAAATTTTATAATTATTGTGAAAATCTAAATTATGTAGAGGAAAACTACAAAGTTGATGGGTTGAAATGGTGAAAGAAACATACCTCTATATTTCTATTATTAGTAAAGTTGGCAAGGAACATGCTCTGAATCCCAGCTACATCAAGCTGTAGCAAGAGTTTAAATACCAATAGTGGAACTACTTGTAACAATAGACACAATTTTTCCAGTCAGCAAAGCAATTGAATTTGATCAATGTCAATGACTTTACTCATCTTTATATGATCTTAAAAAATCCTAAAGAAGGTTTTATCACCACCAAATGAATGGTGGTGATAAAGACCCAAACTTCAGCCAAAAATGAAAAAGGTTCAAAAAGAAAAGTTGGAAAAAAAATTAACTTGAGATTTATCAACCTCACTAAATTGTTATTAATTTGCCTACATCAAAGTAAAATTAGTAAGATAATTGAATTGTTTCCTTTTTTATTTCATTTACATTAATAGTTGAAATTCATTATAATTTGTAGTAAAAATTTAAATTTATTGTAAAAAATATTATCACAATAAAAATAGTATCAAAATAACTCCTATATAATACAACAATAGAGACACCTGTTTTGGTAAACAGGTGTCTAAATTCTTTCTGACAACAACAACAAGTTTTGGGGAAAGAAAAACATATTTTTTTCAATTGGCAAACAAGACAAGACAATAAAGTTAAGAATTTAATTTTTATAGTTAAATATCTTTTTTGCAGCCATTTTTGTCCAAAGTTTATTTTAGCAGCTTTGTTATGTGACTAGGTAACTCTTAAAGAACTGGCATTTTAGATGATAAGGGTGAGGTAAACTACTTTATATAAAATTACTCTTTCATATCACAGACACAAATTGTGTCTATTTGATGTGCAACTTTAGAACCTCCATTAAAATATATTCAGTATGTAAAATTTAGTAAAACTTATAAAGATTCCTGACACAAGCTAATACTTAATAAATATTATTAACTAAAATTATTTTGTTAGATTATAAATTATAATGAGTCAGCCAAAAAGGAATCCAGAATAAAGTTAATAACATTCTTTTTTATTAAAATAACAAAACTTGCAACACAAGTTTTGTTATTTGAATCAAAAAACATCATAAAAATGGTGTCATCACCATTTTTAGTAATACAAAATAACTCAGAGAAAATTGCTGAACCATTAAAAAATTAAATGTTTGTTTTTAATTTTGAGCAGCAAAAAATGATTTTATATAATATGTTTTATTAATATTTGTGATAAAAGAATACTACATCTGTCCAACAACATCTGTAGAGCAGTCCAAGATCATCTGTACACTTTTGTCCAAGATTATCTGTATTTTACATTCACTCCAACAGCATCTGTTTAATATCATCTGGAAATTCAAAGACCTATAACAACATTTTTAGGAAGAAGTAACTACATCTGACAATTTCAAGTCTGATAACATCTGAAAGAATTTCCTCCAGATGTAACTAAATTTGAAAAAAACCGTATATGAAACTAAATCTGATTAAACCGGCAAATTGGTAAATTACTGATAAACTTTATATATCAATACAATTTTTATAATACCGTTTTTATAAAATATAACTTTTCAAAAAGTAGCTTCGTAGAAAGCTTAAACTATCCAATGTCTTGTCTCCTAATCAAAATCTAATTTTAGTACAAACTACTCCAGCTCTTGAAAATACTCTTTCAGGTTCAACACTTGTTGGACGAATGGTCATCAAATAGGAAAAAATATTTGAATGTACTTCCCTCGTATATTTTTTTGTCGAAAGTACTTTTTTAGACCTTTTGTGTTACTTTCTTCTTAAACAATTATTCTTTATTCTTGTCCATTTGTTTTTTAAGAAAAAGAAGATTTCCCTTCATAGAAAAATCAGCATTTAGTTTAACATTAATGAGGTTGTTATTTAACTTTGAACCTGATTCATTTAGGTGTCTTTGAATACTCTTACCGGATTCCACATTATTGTACAAAATACTTTCTTCAATGTCAACAATAGTTTTAACAATTACGGCTTTACTGCTGATATTAAAAATGCTATAATTGTCTTTAACAGAAATAATAACATTTGAATCTGTTATATAGTGTAACACATCTGATACTTAAAAGTGTTTTGGTTACTTAACTTGTCTTACATAAATTTTAATGTAAGATCAGCCTAAATTAACCTTTTCAGTGCAGAGTGTTTCAATGACCAACCTAATAGGTTGCAAGTTTGATATTACATTTTATATTAATTTTACTTCACTTTCATTAAAATCAATGTCAATTTTTAAATATATCAGACTTTTTCGAACAGCATTTTTAAGTTTTGAAAATCTTTCCAGCATGCTTAATAAACTACTCCATCTAGTTTTACAGTCTAAAATTAAAGAAACTTCTTTTTTGACAGTTTCTTTAACATATTTTTGCAGTAGTTAATCATTTTTCGTTGGTGATTTTCTGAAAAGTTTTACAACTTTCCGAATTTTTATAATTAAAGAATTTAGCTCTGCATTTTGTAGAACAAGTTGGGTAATGTCGATATTTTTGTGGAATACTTCAAAGTTTTCAATTTCATTTTCCGAATAATCAGAATTAAAATCAACATTAATTAATACAGTACCTGGCCACAATATTATGATCACTTCAGTTTTTCCACTTATTTTGTTTTTAAAGTTAATTTAAAGTAATTTTAAGGTGAGTATATTATTATTACTAACTTATTATACAATATTGACATCTATCGAATAAAATAGAAAAGATAAATTTATTTATAATCATGACCAATGTGAAGTAAGATGTGTTTTAAGTCAGCAATGTGAATTTTTGTTAATTTAAAGAAAAATGTGTTTGATCTGTCACATACTTTTTTTTTTTTACTTTTTAACAGTTTTTTTTTTTGAGTGAAAAGTGTTTTATTATTTTTAATACATTTTATAAAGTTACTATAAATAGCAAGAATTAATATATAGTACCATTTTATTAACATTTTTAGTGTAACAGGTTGTAATTTAAAATTTCAATAAAAAATAAAGATGGGTAAAGGTAAGGATATAAGTCCAAGCAAAATTTCAGAAGTAAAAGCACTTTTACAACATTCAGAGCGTTCACAACGGGAAATTGCAAAAATGTGTAAAGTTTCGCAACCTTTTGTCAATAAAATCAAACACAAAATGGAAAACGACATCACTCTTTCTCCAAAAAAGAAAGGACGGAGTGGGCCAAAACGTAAAACCACTTCCAGGACAGACAGAATTATAAGAGATATATGTCTGGAAAATAGAAAAAAATCATTCCTCTTGCTGTCAAAACTTGTTCAGGAGTATGGAATACAAATTTTGGAGCGCTCAGTGAGGAGACGTCTGGCTGAAGTTGGTTTAAAATCACACAAACCGGTTAAAAAACCAAGGCTAACTCCAGCAATGATAAAAAAGAGATTGCAATCGGCAAAAAATCATAAGTATATGACTATTGGAGATTGGGGACATGTAAGTTTATCAATTTTGAATGAAATATTGTTAAAAAAGTGTTTAAATGTTGACAAACTTATTTACAACCTCACTATGATGATTTTTTCAGGTGTGTTTTTCAGACGAATCAATTTTTGAGAACTTGCTGGACAAAGCCACCTTCGTCCGAAGAAGACCAAACAGAAAATATCATCCAGATTGCATTGTACAAACTATTAAACATTCAACTAAAGTTATGGTGTGGTCAGTTATCAGTGGTAAAGGCACAGGAAGACTATATATTGTCAATGGGATGATGAACCAAACGCAGTATCAAGAGGTTATGGAGAGTCAACTTATCCCCCAAATACAAGAATGGTTTCCAAATAACAATACATTTATGTTTATGCATGATAGTACTCCATGCCATAAAGCTAAAAGGATCACAAACTTTCTTAAAACAAAAAATATCTTTGTTTTAGATTGGCCAGGGAACTCTCCTGACCTGAATCCGATTGGGAATTTGTGGAACATTCTCAAAAAGGAAATCTCTTCTGAGGTTTCAACAAACAAAAAGGATTTGATTGAAAAATTACTCTATCATTGGCACCACAATGAAAAAATTAAGACAGCAGCAATAAACTGTATTAAAAGTATGCCAGACTGAATAGCTAAAGTCATTTCGTTGAAAGGAGTAATGACAAAATATTAATATTTTTTTATGACTTGCAATGAAAGAGTAATTGTTTGTTAAAATGTGTGTATATTGATATTGAAATATTATTTTGTTATTAAGGAAACATTTTTTATCAATAAAATATAACCAATATTGCAATTGTACTTTTTTTATACTTTTTACAAACCCTTGAAGTTAAAAATACACAAAAACTGTAGGTGATCATAATATTGCGGCCAGGTACTGTATATTAACGTCATGTTCTTTATCATCTTGTACATCTGTTGAAATTATATTATAAAGTAATTTTATGATTGCCAATTGTAGGCAATGTATGATACATAACTGATGGTTTTTATTAAGTAACTTTACCATTCTCTTGTTAACAGCAGCTCTGTCTGATGTTATGCATACAATATTTGACAAAGCTATATTAAACTCTTTAAGCTTCTTTTCAATTAGTTCTGCGCATACCTCAGCAAGTGCGGATCCATGAATCCAAATCAATCCAAGATTCCAAAAATTACAGTCTTTTTTATGAATAAAAATATTTATATACTGGTGGTTTTTATTTGATGTCCATTCATCTGTGGTAAGGCTACAAGGTTTTTTATTGAGCTTATTCTGTGAAATTTCCTTTACAACTTCTTTCCTTATTTTAACGGCATAATCCATTACTTTTTAGTAAATAGTTTTGGGCTATTTTGGTAACTCTATGAACCTTTTTTTTTTGTAACATCTTTAAATCTTTAGATGTGCAAAATTTATTGAAAGAATTTTCAATGCTATTGCAACTGGCGGTTCTTTTGCGCGTTCTTCTATATTTCTTTTTAACACATTAATTTTATGTTGACTCTTTTGATGGCATGTAAACCACTAGTACTTCCACCTGTTGTATTAATTCTTTTTGTGGATTGTTTACATATGGCTATATCTCATGTTTCTGCATGATTATAGTAATTCCAAATTGAACTTTTATACATTAAAAGGTCTTTAAAATAATTTTTAAAACGAAATTAAAAAAAAAATTTCTTTTATGATAAAAAGTTTGCAAAACATTGTTTGCCAACATCTATTTCAAACGTTGTTTAATTAGAGCTGTTAAGTTTATTCAAGCGTTAAGTTCAAACAAAAAATGCTTTAAACCAGAGTTGCTAGTCCTTGACTTGACCTCGGTCTTGGCCTTGCCTTGGGGAAAAAAATTGTGGCCTTGGCCTTGGTCTTGAAAAATTTGGCCTTAGTCTTGATTGTTTTGGCTTTAGCCTTTAAAAAAATACATATTTTTTTATTGACTTTATTGAATTCTGCACATAAGCTTGGTTGATAAATTATTAAAATTTAAAACTTTTTGTATAATATATATTTATAAACAACACATACTTCTGCAGTAGCATAGTATGTTGACCAGTCTTTTCTCAAAGACTCTTGTCCTCCGATATCCCACATGCAAAATTGCGTATTTTTCCATTTCACCTAAAAAATTACGAAATAACCAACAATAATAAACAATAACCAACAATAAAAAAATGGCAGATATTAAAAATAATATATTGTGAGAATTAACTACTATATGAAGTAAACAAGTAATTTCCAGTCTACTTCTAAATTTTCCATTTTTATCTTTAACTTTATTTTTTTTGGATTGGTTTTGGTATTTTATGGTAAGTTGGCATTAAAAATCCCAAACAAACAAACAAACAAAAAAAAACTGTATTATATTACGAGCAATTTTAGTAATATTTTATTTTACTTTAACCTTTTTATTTTAATGGTATTGTTGTAAAAGACAAATAAATAAATAAAAACAAAAAAAACATAACTATATTACAAAAGTTATAAGTTATAGTTTCTTTTGGCAGTCTCTAATATGAGGTTTCATTAATTCTGTTTTGCTACTTAGAAATGCATGGAAACCTTTGTATTATCTTTAGGACATATTAGATATACAAACCTCAGAATTAGGTAAACTCAGAATTAAGGTCAACAAAAAATTACTGACCCTGTTCCTATGTTTTATGGTAACCCTTTTGTGTCAAATTTTTTTGCCGACCTAATACTGACCTCAAACTGTTTTATGTTTATTTTTGCACTATTAAATAATTTAAAAGTATTTTGTTTAAAATGCTTTGATAAAAATCAAAAAAATAATAAAAATGCTAAAGTGGGCAAAACTCCGTAAAAAATGGACCATCAATGACTGTAAACGTGGACCGACGTATTGAAGTTTTAAATCTTTGGTTTCAAAATAAGATTGTTTGTCTGGAAAAAAAAATGTTGAATTTATGATAAAACAATATGTATTATTGACTGTAAAACATGGTGGATGTAATGTTAAGGTGTTTTGGTTAGAATACCACAGGTGACTTTGTGAAAATAGAGGGAGTAATGACAAATTAAGTTGTTAAGTAGAATGCCAAGAATATATATATATGCGGTTAATATCGCTAAGAGTGATTAAAAGGCAAGTAAATTATAAATTAATCTATCCAGACTTTTATTAATTTTTTTGTAAACCTAATAAAAAGGAAGATAACATATAATTCAGGTAAACTTTGCTTACAGTTTCTCTCCCAATAGTAATAAAAACTATGATATCTTATTCGGAAAAGTATGACCATTTGAATAATTATGGACGGTAGAGTATATATATATATATATATATATATATATATATATATATATATATATATATATATATATATATATATATATATATATATATATATATATATATATATATATATATATATATATATTTAATTGTCTACTATGAATACTGGTAGCCTAGTACAGTTTTAAGTTTTTTTTAAACTTTCACACTCTTAACAAACTATTTAGATTAATTATCAATCCATATGTGTTAAGACAAAGAATTAAGTGAAATTAAAAAAAAATGTTTTAAAGCATAACATTCTAACTTTTGCCTGCCTTACAACTTAAGTCTTGATTTTAGTTTAGCTGGGTTTTTTTTATTTTGTTACCACTGATATATACTTATGAACTATTATAAAATAAAATAAATATATATTTATATATGTTTTAATAAAATATAAAATAAAAAACCTTATACTTATTATTATAACTATTTTTGTTATTATTATTATTATTATTATTATTATTAGCGATCTTTATTTTATATATTATTAATATACTACAAAATTAATCATTTGCAATTTTATTATAAATTTGTTCTGCAAACAATATCCTACTAATAAAGACTTTACTACAACACTGAATAAAACGTTCTTTAACTAAAACTTGCCTCTTCAACATTACTTCCAATAGTAGGAGATGTTTGCACAACTTCATTCATTAAACTAAAAAAAATAATTTATATAACCATTTAAAAAGTTTTTTTACATATTTATAAGATACAGGTAAGCTTTGGAGTATATTGCAGAACAAGGTAACATACTTTACAAGGAAACATAAAATACTTTAAGAATGTAAAAATGGTGGATTCTTGTTGAGTCAACAAATATATGTGTGAATGTCAATATATTGTAATTGTAATGTCAAAAAGTTGCATTTGATTGGATAATCAATTTATATCTTAATCTAAAATATATACATATTTATATATATATATATATATATATATATATATATATATATATATATATATATATATATATATATATATATATATATATATATATATATATATATATATAAATAAAGCCTTCTCAGGAGACGCAAGCGATTGCACGCCTCATATGAACACACATATTATTTTGTTTTGACAACTTGGCCACAGCTCCATAAATGTTTTAAGCTACCATATTTAAAAAATGAGCTGAATAAATGAATGTAAACTTAAACTAAATTTAAAAATAAACAAACTATAAAAGAGAAAGAGAAATAAAAACTATATATATATATATATATATATATATATATATATATATATATATATATATATATATATATATATATATATATATATATATATATATATATATATATATATATATACAAATACATATCAGGCTTTCCCAGGAAAGGCGTGTGGTCGCATGCCTTGTTTGTCCACACATAGAATAAATTTTTCAGAAAACGTGACCGCGGCAATATTTCCTGGGAAAGCGGAACTTATCCACAGAGAATAAAAAATAATATTAAAAAAAGGAAACGAAGTCTAAACAAAGTATAAAATTGAAATTGGATGTAAGAAAAATATTTTAATAATAAAAAAAAAATTAAAAAAAAATCTTGTAACAAAAAAAAAAAAAAAGTCCTGAACATTTTTTTCAAAATTTTTATACTGTTTTTGTTTTCTTTTTTTAGGGTTGCTATTTTCAGCTACGAAATTTGATACAAGTCAAGGAATAGACGACAATAAGTCATAAAATTTTCACGTAAATAAAAAGACTTGATACGTAATTTATTCACTAACTTTATCAGACAATGTATTAAAAAACTGATTCATTATTTGCGCTAGACTAATTTGATTAAATTTTTTCATTTAATTTAGTTTTTACGAAGGTTTATGCAGAGGCGATGACATTATTCCCAAATACTTAGACAAGAAAATAAATTGCTGTTTTAATTATTAAATATATTATTTGAGATATTAAAGATAACAAAATTTTAATGTGAAATAATTTCTTTCTTGACTTATTCTAAACTGATTATACTGAGTTAATGCTCGCCTTTTATTACGTTGAAATTATTCAATTGCATAATTTTGTAATTACGAAAGAAGTTAAAAAAATAATTGCATTGCTTCCGTTGTCATTGTTACGAATACAGTTCCTTGGGGACATTATTATATATTAACACTTGTTTACAATGTCAATTAATGATTGCAAAATAAGCAACCCAATCGTTTGACAATAAAATTTTCTTTCATTTGAAAATTAAAAAAAACAACATATTTTACAAATAAATAGCAATCGTTTTCGCGCTTTCTTGCGTATCAATACATTTAACCATTTAAATGTATTTACGAAACATTTAAAAATTGATTATAGTTCTATCGTGAATTTTAAAGTATTACTGACTGATAAAAGTCATAAAAAATTTTTACATTAAAAGGTCCTTTTATTTTCATTAAACAACAACATTTTTCTTTTTGATTTGATTTTTCTTATTGATTTGATTTTTCTTTTTGATTTGATTTTTCATAGCTTAAATAACTACCGCCCTTAAAAAACAAACAAAAAAAATAAAATAAAATAAAATATAGGTAAATTTTTTTTTTAATATATACATTAATTTTTAAATTTTAAAGCACAAACAGATTTCTGTTATTTACTTTAAGATTGCTTGCATTTTTGCGGTATTTTCGTTTAGCTTTCTTTTGGCGCGAATTTTTGAAACGCATAATAATAAAACGTGGTCAGTTAGTCAGAAAAATTTATTCTATGCGTGGACAAACAAGGCGTGCGACTGCACGCCTTTCCTGGGAAAGCCTGATATATATATATATATATATATATATATATATATATATATATATATATATATATATATATATATATATATATACATAGACCGTTTTCGACAGCATCAACCATACTTGGCACTGCCCAAATTAAAATTCGAGGATGTTTTTTTTTTTTTTGTAACGTTTTTTATTTTTACGTTTTTATGGCAAATATTGCAAAAAAAAAAATGTGGATTTTTCGCTAAAGTCCGCCAACACAGGGGATACTGCTGCCCAAATTTTTTTCATAGAATAGGCCCTGATATATATATATATATATATATATATATATATATATATATATATATATATATATATATATATATATATATATATATATATATATATATATATATATATATATATATATATAAATGATATCAAATTAAGAAAAAAAAATTCTAGTTTATACGAGCAGATTTTAAAGGTATTTACATTTACTAGAAATGGCATATTTGCTTTGTGGGGACTTTGATGAAAGTTTCCAAGAGACATGAAATAAATTAAAAATTTAACAATGTTTTTTTTTTTTTTTTTTTTTTTTTTATTTGCATTTACTCCCAACAAGGCTGCAAGCAACCACTATTAAGTTGGGAGTTACTAGGAAAAAAAAGAACAGAGTTATAGAGCAAGGAAACGGTTGACAAAAGACTTGAAAAGTTGAAGGTTGTATGAGTCAGGAAAACATGAAGATGGGAGAGAGTTCCAAAGGATTGAAGTGCGGGGAAAAAAACTAGATGAATAAAAGTTTTTAGAGCATGCAGGGACAGATACAGTAAACGAATGAGACTTAGCTGAATGATGAGTAAAACGAGAATGAATTTTAGTTGATGGAACTAGAGATGATAACCCCTTTGAGCAGTGACCATGATAATATTTGTAGAAAAGAGAAAGAGATGCAACTTTACGACGATGGGAAAGAGGTTCAAGCTTAGCAGATAGTCCAGGTCCAACAACATTTACAATGCATTTTTGGACCTTGTCAAGAAGAGAAAGTGAATCATTAGAAGAACCAGCCCAAATATGACAACAGTATTCCATACAGGGACAAATAAGAGATTTGTAGAGGTAGAGAATGGAATCAGAAGTAAGGAAATGGCGAGCACGATAAAGAGAAGCAACCTTAGCAGAAGCTAATTTAGCAATCGATTGTATATATGGTTTCCATGAAAGGTCAGTAGTAAGCGATAATCCAAGAAGACGTAAAGAGGAGGACTCAGTAAGAGGATTGCCATTCATTAATATAGGAATGTTGACCATATTACGGTAGTTGTTTGCAGTAAGCAACTGGGTTTTTTTAGAGTTGAAATTCACAAGCCACTGGGAACCCCAATCTATTACTGAAGTGAGATCGGATTCAAGATCAGCTGCTTGTTCTAGGCGATCGAAAAGAGAAGACTTTTTGTCAAGACAGGAGTATAAAGTTGAGTCATCAGCAAAAAGAGCTACTTTAGATGAAAGGTTGGCAGGAAGATCGTTTATGTAGATAAGAAACAAAACAGGGCCCAGGTTGGAACCTTGGGGAACCCCAGAAGTTACTGGAAATAAAGAAGAGTGTTGGCCTTCAAGGATGACTTTAATATTATTTTATTGTATTACCAATTTTAATATTATTTTATTATATTACAATTTTATTGTATTACCATTTGACTGAAAATCTGAATATTTACAAATATTAACAATTTCTATATAAATTTAACAATCATTATTCGATCTCTAGCGGATTATAAAATGTAGTTCAAAGCAAACACATAAAGTCATTTGTCATATTTAAAATACAATTGTCATTTTTATTGAAGATCGCTTCAACAACTCATGGGAAGATGATGAGTGATTTAATTTATATTTATAGATATTGAATAAAAATTTGATTAATTTGCTCATTATTTGATGAGGTATCAACTGTTCTATAATTTAACTTGCTGAGATCTTCTAATTTATAAATGTATAATTTAACCAGAAAAAGATCAATGGTTTTAACACATATTTTTAATGTTACTTTAGGGAGATGGGGAGTACAAAAACTGACAGCATATATAAGAGAGGAGGGGGGTCAGGCAAAAATTAACAGTTTAACAAAGGGGAGGGGGTCAAAAAATTGAGAAAAATCACTGACATCATTTATGGACAGACTCATATATACAGGGCTCGAATTAAGCATATCGCAATCGCAAATCGCGATTGCTTTTTACACCTTCGCGATTCGTCTTTTCTTAAAACATATAGTTTCGCAGTTGGTTTACTTTTTTATTTGTTTATTTACTATTTTTCTAATTTAGCTTTTTTTTTGGCAATTCTTAAAAGTAATGTTTTCATAGTAAAGTACATCACGCAAAGTTTGTCTTTTGAATAGAAGCATGATCATTTGCTTTTGAATAGAAGCATGATCATTTGGTCTTTCGCACGGAGATTTTTTTTAACGTAAACTTTTTAATTGAAACTACTTTAAATCTCTGCGTAGAAGCAAATTAAAAAGACAAAAGTTGAAAATAATTTTTTCTTCATTCTTTTTTTTAACAAAACAGCATTTTTATCTTTTTTTTAAAGAAACGTTGCTCCAAATTAACTTAATAATAATGATTTAAATTATTATTTTATAAACAATTTTATATAATTATTTTTAATACTTTAAGTATAATAAAATATATATTAATTCGTTTTTATTAAATAAAATTTCTATTAGTAAAATTGTGCTAAAAGAAACCAGCAACTTTTTTGCTTTCACGTTTTTCGCTTTAACGACCTTGAAACTATTGAAGTTATATTTACTGAATGGATAGATTATATCACAGTAAATTAACTTATAACCTAAATCAAAACAACCGGTTAATTTTTTTTGTAGTAACTTACAGTTACTCAAGTATTAATTTAACAATTATATTAATTTATTTAATATACTCGCAAAAGTTAACCATAGACATGTTTTAATTTAGATCTTACATGTTGTTAACACATAATATAAGCTTTTAACTAATAATTATATAACAAAAATTGTCGAATAGAATATGAAAAACACGACACCATTTTTTTATATTTTCATCTTATTTATAGCGACATCTAGACTAAACATTTTCTATAAATACGCAAATTTTTCAGGAATTTTAATTAAAAAGAAATCAATTTAACAAGAGAACTTTAGTATTAAAATTCACTTATTCAAATAATTTTGCGATTGAAATTTGAAATTTCAAAAAAAATTTAAAATTTAAAAAAAGTTTGATGAAACTAGTAAGAAAAGAAGAAAGTTTTTTTTTTTAAATCGTCAATTTTTTTAAGGTTTTGAATTTATATATATATATTTTTTCTTGAAAATAGTTTTAAAAGTAGAAACATTCTATTGCAAACATCAAAGCAGTGATTGCAAATTGAAAGTTAAAATAAAAATTATAAAAAATTTAAATTAAATTTAATAAATTATTTTACTTCTGTTCGAAAAAATTTTTTTCTAAAAAAATAATTTAAGCATATTCTTATACTTAATATAATTCGATTTATTAAAAAAAAATTTTTGTTTCACTTTTTTTTGGAAAACAATTAGAATAAAAAAAAATTGAATGAAAACATCAGTTTAAAAACCATTTGAATGAAAAACTTAATTATACTTAAATTTTTAATCGTACGCTTGATCAGGAAACGATACTTTACAAAAGACGTGGTATCTAATGTTTTTATGCTTTGATCTTACTTGTTTGGTCCATATATTATAAACTCGTATAGGGGTGGAATGCAACAAGCGAACTTGAGTCAAGCTCGACTTGAACTTTACTTTGTAACCAATAGCGGCAGAGTATTTTTTGAGGGGAAAACCCATACTCTGTCGCTATTAGTTACAAAGTAAAGTTCAAGTCAAACTTGACTTAAGTTTGCTTCTTGCATTCCACCCTAGGTCTATAGGCACAAATATGAAGTTTTGTTTTAGTTTATTAACTAGGTCAATTTTATTTATTTGCTTCCTTTTATTTTATAAATTGTATAAATCAACACAAAACAGCGTCACAAATTTGTTTTACATTAACCCAAGCTCTTTTATATTTTTAAAACAACTTTGCAGTTTGTTTTAATGTTGTTTCATAGCTTTTAACAATTAAATACTTTTTAAAATTAACACGTGTTTTAACATCAGCACAAACGTATTAAATAGTTTTCTTTGACTAATTAAAGTGGTTTAGATATTGCAATGTTGCTTTTTCTCTTACTTTTTTACTTTTACTTTTTTAAGTATTATTTTAAGTAAAATATATACTTAAAGAAATATCTTAATAGTATTAAAAACGTTATTGCTTATTACAACTGCAACTTAAACTTTAAGTTATAACTTAAGTTGTAATAATAACAGTAAATAACACTAACTTATGCTATTTTAAACTCTGCCGAACAAGAAAATTATAAGATTATATTTAAATATGAGAGATAATATATTAAAAGTAGAACAATTACATACAAAAGTTACAATTATATACTAACACAATTCCCCCCCCCCCCATTACCGCAAAGACGCGCAACATATATACACATGCATACATACACACATATAAATACGCATACTGAAATACACACATGTGTACATATACTCACATACAAATGATAATATATACACACATAAACAGTCAAAAAGAAAAGAAGATCAAAAATGTCTTCTTTTTTGTTATATGTGTATATATACTTTCATTTTGAAATTTTACAAAAACATATATTGAATATATTTTTATAAGCACAAAAAAAGTAAAAACTATGATTTTCTATTAATAAAATTTTTAAATTGTGAAGCGTCTCTAAGCAATAGCAACTCATATTTACTTCAAATCTTACTGTTGTATCTGTATGTTGTTGTTGCACTTCAAGCCTTGTTGTTGTATTTGTGTGTTGTTGCTGTACTTCAAGCCTTGTTATTGTACTTGTGTGTTGATGTTCAGCCTTGCTGTTGTACCTTTGCCTAAGCCTTTTCATTGTACCTGTGTGTTGTTGTACTTTAAACATTGTTGTTGTACCTGTATGTTGTTGTATTTTAAACATTGTTGTTATACCTGTACGTACAACTATCAACTTGTAAGTCAACTTATATGTAAATTAAAAACAATTGTTGTTGTACCTGTATGAAGTCAACTTAAGTTAAATTAAAAACTATTGTTTCAAATTTAAATTTTTGTTTTTAAAAAAAACTTACAATTGATATAAAATTGTTGTTTTTCCTGCATTATCTAGTCCAACAATGATCACTTTATGTTCTAAAAGAAAATTAAAATTTATATATTGTAATTACTTTCCTGCGTTATCTAGTCCAACATTATCTATATTGTATTTATTACATTTTACCATGCTCCCCTTCATAGCATCTTATTTTTTCTTCAGGTCAATAAATGAATCAAAAAGAAATTGCTTTTTTACGTAACTATGTGATGTAACTGTCTTTTGATCGTTAGTTTTAAAAAACTGAATGTTGTTACGACAACATAATTTTAAAACTTGTTGCGAAATTTTATAACAATGGAATGTATAAATAGTTTGCTATTGCAAAAGGTAGAGCGATTTTAAAAAAGCTGTTCAGCGTAATTAAACTTTTGTTTTAGCGTAAAGTTAACTTTTGTTTTTTGCCAATTAAGAATAAACTACTTTTGATAATAAATGAACAAAAGTAAAAAATTTCATCTTAATAACTATAGCACAAATTCAATTTTTGAAATGAATGAACTTTTGATCTTTAGCTTGCTAATTTAGTTTACAAGAGGGAAACAAAAAAACAAAACATAAACTTTTTCAGAAAGTTTTGTTTCTTTTCCATATTCTTTTTGACTTTTAAAATAATAAAAATAACGATTACAATAACTTAATAAAAGTTTTTTTAAGATCTGTCTAAAATAACCCATAGTAAATGTAACTTATTTATTAAACATAATTTTTTAAATTATACTCAATGATTAAAAAAATATTACATATTTTTTTTAATATAATTTGTTTTTAAAAATATAATATGTTTTTTAATCAAAAAAATATAACATTTTTAAAATTATGTTTATTGTAATTATCTCTTTAATAACTATCTTTAATTTAAAAGGTGCCTTAAAATTACTTTAAAAATTATTAATCTTTAGTAAAAGTTAAATGAAAAGATTTGCTAATAATTAATCAAAATTTTAAAATTAAAATAATCGTAAATACGTTTATTAAATGCTTATGTTTTTTGTTCAAATACTTATTCAAATACAAGACGTAAAACTATTTTGTTAATTTTACAATTATTACGGGATTTAATATATGTAAATATATTATGTAATCTAAATATTAATTCAAAATTATATAAAGTATTTAAACATTTAATTACTAATTATTTAAAACATTAACAACTACTAATATTTAATTTATTAAAATATAGTTAATAAATATTTAAAATACTTTTAACAATTTTCAATAATTATTTACTAATAGTGTGGTGTTTGCAACATTTATTAAGTCTTAAGCAAAATAGTTTTCTTATCTTAGAAACTCATCCTTCCTCCTCCCCAACATTGCCAAAAAAATAGCGGTATCCCCAAATAAACACTTTGGGTCCTTCAATGTGTGTGTGTGTGTATATATATATATATATATATATATATATATATATATATATATATATATATATATATATATATATAAATATATATATATATATATATATATATATATATATATATATATATATATATATATATATATATATATATATATATATATAATAATATTGTTAACACATGGTCACTTGTCTCAAAAATACTAAGAAAAATAAAAAGTTTTTTAGATATAAACAAAAAAAAAAATAAACAGTTTTTTAGATGTAAATTTAAAAATGCAATTAAAAAAACTTTTTTAACAGCATACTTATGAGCTTAAGATTTACGATAAGAACGCTATTATTAATTGCTCATGTGCAATAAAAGGCAAAGTCGTTGCATGATATGAAAATTCTAGAAAAGATTTTAACTGTTTTTATGGAGATTTTAGTAATATCTATTTTAAATAATTTTTAATAAAAGCAATGATTTAAGAATGGAATTAGTTAGTTTCTTTGTGACTCAAAATTAAATACTCTTTATTTTTAGACCTTGAATTTGTTATACAAATTTATTTTTATTTCTAATTCAGCACTAAACAAACAAAAACTAAAATAAAAAGAAACTTAAATTCTATTGAAGAGGTGATGCAACCCCCTACTCCTTCTTATATATTAGCCACTGAACAAAACAATTTTTATAACCATATATAAACTTGCAGAGGGAAATCACAAACATATTTGTATATACAAACTTGCAAAGGGCTGGAGAGCAAATTTAATTGACAACTTTTTCTGCATAATTTCAAATGATCTTCTGCAAGATGTGTGCATTAAAAACACACAATTTATACTTTCAAGGTTAGAACATCACCACTTGAAAAGGGTTTTTATTATATTGGTTTTATGGGGATTAATCATGTCAGAGTTAAATTGTTTAGATTTCAGAAAGTTTAGACAATATATGCCACTATTGACTGAAGATTAATACTAAAAAGAATATAGCATCAATAGTTAAATCTTGTGCGCAAAAAACATTTTTTTGTACAAGATTCATTTTTTAAACTATTGATTCTTTCTACTATTAACTTTCAAGTTCAAGTGTTCTGTGTGCATGTGTTATGCCAAATTATTAGGCAGATCTGTAGTAGAATATTAGATCCACCTGAAATATTAGTTCCCACTGCGTAAAACTCAAAACGAGATAGCGCTATCAAGTTATAACTGTTAAAAGTGTAACTAAAATGTCTGTACTATCTTAGTAAACAAAAACAAGGAGAAAAACGTTTAGGACAACAATTCTAGAAATTAAAAAAATTTACATAAGTAATGTAAAAAAGACGATATAAGATAGAGTAGTAGTAATAGAAAATAAACAAATTAATTATTTATAATATTATAAACTAATTAGTTATTTATTTACATGAAAACATTTTACTAATGCTTTTGTTATCGTTTTTTTTCTAATTTTTACTAATGTTTTAGTTAATGTTTTGTAATGTTTGAAAAACATTAATAAAAACATTTATAAAATGCTTTTATTAATGTTTTTTTCTCCTTGTTTATGTTTACTAAGATATAACAGACGTTTTAGGTATACTTCTAACAGTTATAACCCAAAAGCGCTATCTCACTTTGAGTTTTATGCAGTGGAAATTAATATTTCAGGCAGATCTAATATTCTACTACAGATCACATATAAAAGTTAAACTGTTTTTATAATTCTTTCTGCCGTTTGTACAATATGAATAATTTGCTCAACCAATCTGCTCTGGTGATTGGTACAATACTCAAAAATTCCAAAAAAATAAATAGTTTAACATATAAATATGGTCTTCCTGCTCAACTATAGCATTAGAATGTTATTTAAATAAATCAATATAAACATACCTTTATCTGCAAACAGCATGCTCCATATTTTTGAAACAAGTATTCCCATTACACCAACATTGCAGCTTAGCTTCTTTTAATAACTCCTATGATTTATCTGCTTTTTAAGCCACACTAATTTATATATATATATATATATATATATATATATATATATATATATATATATATATATATATATATATATATATATATATATATATATATATATATATATATATATATATATTAATTATATAAATGTAATATAAAAAATATATAAAAAATAGCTTAAATTATGTTTACATTGTTCATAATTCTAAAACTTTGAAATTAATGATTAATTAGCAATTTTGAGTAATTCAATAGTTTTTAATAATTTCTCTAATATTACAATTTCATACAAAATAAAAAGTTAGTATAAATTTTCAAAGAAAAATCACAACGCTATTTTCAACAAAACAATTAATCGAAGAGTTCAGATTTTTATCTTATGCTAAATTCTACTTGCTTAACATTTTATTTATGACACACATACATTTAAGTTTAGTCATTTAAAGTAAGTACTACAATTGTGTTAACATAATCTTTACTAAAAGCGGTCTTTGTCTTTCTTACGATCGGTATACATAAATTTAAAATTACTGACCGATTCGGAAACCATTTATTAACATTAGTAAACAAGGTTTTTAAAAATGTCTGTAGAGGACGAAACGGACTCCCTCCTAATATCCTTAATCGAAAAAGAAATACCAGATGGACGAAAAGCATTACATGAAAGCCATAAAAACTTGGCTGATTTATCAGAATATTGTCGACAAAACTACATTAATAGGTAAAAACTAGTTATGTTTTAAATTGTCTATATAATTTCTGTATTTATCCCTTTTTATGTACTAACTGTAGATATTAACGCCTCATCAGTTTTTAAATGTTTGTACTTGTCCCTTACTATTATATATATATATATATATATATATATATATATATATATATATATATATATATATATATATATATATATATATATATATATATATATATATATACACCTAATATATATACCTAATGTATATATATATATATATATATATATATATATATATATATATATATATATATATATATATATATATATATATATATATATATATACACCTAGTATATATACCTAATGTATATATATATATATATATATATATATATATATATATATATATATATATATATATATATATATATATATATATATATATATATATATATATATATATATATATATATTAGGTATATGGATAAAAATTTCAAACTATTTGAATACTATACTGTTATATATTATTGGTCAAAGAAGAATTATATATCATTGATCAAAGAAGATCAGTACAATATTTTAATAGTGAAAAAATTATCAAAATCGAACCAATCATTCAAAAGTTATGACAGTTTTCTTCAATTAAGTTGTTATAACTTTGTCAATTCTTATCAAAATACAAATATCTTGGTATCAAAAGATAGGTGTAAGAGTGGGCTACAAATTTATGTTAAACTGTAACCACTGGGTGTATATGATGGACAGAGGGAGTGCCAAACCACCACCTCACCTGTTGAAAACTAAACATTTTTTTCATTAAAAAATGTTTTTGAAGAGAAATTGAAAATTTTGAAATACAAAAAGTGATTATAATGTTTTACCAAACTTTTAACCTATATGAGAAGTGTATGTTACAGTTAGAAGTGGGTATGACTTAACACACCGTAGTATCAAAAATGGTTTTTTTTACACATATTTGTATAATTACTAACATTAGTAAATATAGTTTACCATAAAATTGTTAAGAAGCGCTTCCCTATTTGAATTTTACGTACGTGTTTACGATTTCATGTACACGTTTCGCAATTTATGTTATGCAAAAACTTTTTTCAATAAGTTTATTTTAAACAGTCTTTTAAAACAGATAATGCGGAAAACATTAAACTGTAATTAATTGTTGTAAAAAAACATTTGTGGAATATTTTTTTTATTAGATAAAAAAAACAGATAGATATCCTTTTTTCTATTTTCCTTTTTTAAAAAAATATATATTTAATTCATTTTATTAAATTTAAGTTAATTTTATTATTATTCATAGTTTTAGTAATTTATTTGATTAAATTAAATTAAAATTCTTTTAAAAATTTCAAAACGCTCTGTTTTACAACTTTTTTTACTGATGAAATTTCCAAAATTTATGTTATAAAATAAAATTGAAAAAAATGTAATAAATTTAATTCAAGTTACTTTAAAATGTTCGCATTACATATAACTTTATTCTAATTTCAGTTAAGTTTTAGGTAAGTTCCAGTTCTAAATACTGGTCTGAATAATGCGCTTTTGTAGTTAATAAATGACGTCAATACAAAAAAGTTCTTTCAAATTCAAGTTTAAATGTCATGTTTGGGTTTTCCCTTTGCCGTTAAATTTTATGTAGAATAATTTCTTTTATAAAACGAACCAAAACTTTAAACCGATTAAAAATAATGCGATCAATAAATAAACTCTTTAAAAGCCCAACTTATTATTTTATTTTGAAAACAAAACTAATACTTCTTTTCGGATTTAATAAGAATTAGTAAAAATACATTAGGTTTCGCGGTACATAAAAATAAAACATTTTAATGGAATTAAAAAAAAAAAAAGCCGAAAAGCAGTAATCTTCGTTTAATTACAATTTTTATTTTATCAAAAGCTAGTTAGCGCAAAGGTTTTTTTAAAAAGGGGAAAACCCAATCTAATTGTGTAGTAAGTACATTTAAATCCCTTAAAGAAAATAAACCATAAACAAGTGTCCCCTCATTTTAAAAAAATAACCATAAAAAGAATGTTTTAAAGAAAAAAAATTAAGTTTAAATAAGTATAAAATTTTAAAATAAGGAATTTTTTCTTTAATCACTATTTAAATTTAATTTATAGCTTTTTTAATAACAATATTGTTTACTTTATACATTAGAAATTATTGTAAGTCTTTTAAAAGATATTTTTTTTTAAAGACATAATAATTTCTAATATATTTTTTAATTTAATTACAATAAGGTATTTTAAAATAAGCAACTGACGCAGTTAAACTTTTAATGATGTAAATATCTTTATTTAATAAAGTTACATCTATTCATGTTGCACTTTTCCATTACGCAACAAAATCTCATAACAAGGCCTGAAGTGTAAAAAAACTAAACAAATTTTTTAAAATAAATTTTTTAATTAATTGTAGATACAATTCAAAATACTCCAAAACCTTTATTGATGGACTGTAATTTGCCAATTAGTCAAAAGTCAATGTTAATAAAAAAAGGTGTTTAAAATAAAAAATTAATAAAATGTAATTGGGATATTATTGTCAAAAAATAGTAATTCATGATTATTTTAAAGATGAATTTCTTTATAAATAATGTCTTGGCTTTTAGTAAATGATTAAAATGATAAATTCCAAAAATTTTATAATAATCATTTTTAATGATAGACACCTAGGGATTGCAATCCCGCACACTTTTCAATCCCGCGGGATCCAGCGTGGCATTGGTAGATTTCTTATGCATGTTATAAAAGGCAAAATGACAATTGTATTTTTCTTTCAAATATTTCAGAAAAAATATACTTAACTTAATAAATTGATAAGATGAGGTATATGAAGCCAAAAATACAATTCATTTGTAAATCTATATAAATCTATAAAAATTTAATGAACAAAAAAATGAGATAAAGATAAGTAAAACGTATTTTAGCTTTATGTAGAGTGTCTTTTAGCTTTACTTATTTTTAAAAATATCAAATATGAGAAAATTATTGTAAGAAATGCGCTCTTAAGAAACAGACCCTACTTAAAGTATCATCACATAATCTACTCCTCAAAGGACTGCATGTATAGCCAGCAGCTGAAAAAGCTCGCTCAACCTCTGCACTTGTTGTAGATATGGTCATCAAGTAATTATGAGCTATATCTAAAAACTTGCCTCTTACTCCGTTACTTTCATAGGCAGACATTTTCTGCTTCAATAAGTTATCAAAGTCTAAAGAATCTAAATTTGGTATCTCCTTTACATTTTCTGTCTAGCTTTTCTTGTCTTTCTGTATATGATTTTCCGATTCCTTTTTCAGCAATAGTATTGTAGGAGTAGTATTTGGGAATTATTAATAGAATCTACAACTTCTTTTTCTTCATCTTTATTTCTTTCAATTGTATAAACTCGTATCAATACTTTTTTTATTTCTTGACACATAAAGATTCTCTTTGGCATTGAAAAAGTACTTTTATATTTTTAAATTTCTTGTTCATATTTTTTAGGATTTTGTAAGTAAACTAGTAGTCAATTTAAATTCTTATTACAACATTGTGTAAACCTCTTACGAAGTGCCGCGGCTAAATCAATGCTCAAAAGTGATGATTGCTTTTGTAATTTATCTAACATAAATTGAAAAGTTATTTCCGCAGTGACAAGGTTCGATTCTCTCCTGTATAATAGTTCTAGACCAAGTTTTAGTGGTGCCAGGCAAATAATTAAGTCATTGATTTGGGACCATTCTTCTTGGGTGAAATGAATTTCTGACCCAACATCAATTAAGGCTTTTTCAATACTGTTCCACCAAGTTTTACAATCAAGAATCAGCTTAAGCTTTTTGCCATGTTCATGTAGGATATACTTCTGTAAATATGTATTATTTTTGACAGGAGAGTTTTTAAATATTTTCACAACCTTTCTCACTTTTTTCATGAGATCTTTGTAATTGCTAACCAATTTAGCAGATGGGTGGTCCAAAATTATAGGCAGACCATATTCTTTATTTAGAACTTCATCATCATCAGTGTTCTCATGTTCATCTTCTTCGCAAATTTCCTTGTAGTAAATGATTCTTTGACTTCTCCGTTGTTTTTCTTGTATAAGATATCAATAACTGCAAGTTGTATTCCATGAGCATAACAAAGTTGATGATAGCAAGACATCATTTTACAGACTTTCACCTTCACACTTGCTCTATCAGTGGTCATGGCGATTATGTCTTTTTGGAGGTCGATATTGAAGCTATTTAGCCTTCCTGCAACTAACTTGACGCAATATTCTGCATTACATGATCCATGGATTCGAATCAATCCAAGATTAAAGTGTTTTGCCTCCATATGTACATATAAGTTAAGGTATCTCTGACTATTTTGTGATGTCTATTCGTCAAACTTTTTTGAAAACTTATATCGGCTTTTACAGAATCTGATAATTTTACTTCCATCAATCTTATAGTATTAGGTGAAGTAGGGAGCCAGAAACCACTCTTTGAAAACAAATATCGCAAATCTGAAGATGTGCAAAAACTATTAAATGTAAAGCCATCTTTAGCAACCATGCATGATACCATTTTTTTCCATAGAAATTTCTTTTACGAAAAACGTGCCTATTGTTCTGACCTTTTTTGATAGAATTACTTCTTCGTCATTGCAGTGGATGTATATTTTAGACTCTAGTTCAACTGATTCATGCTGTTTTGAAGTTGAAGCTCCGTCTTGTTGTCAAACGTTTGCTTTTAAATCGATTTTAAACCATGTTTAGTTTTTAAATGGATTAATAACCCTTTTGTTGATCTTTGATTTGAACGAGTTTCTCAGTATACATTTCATTGTGCACTTTATAACTATCTGCTCTAAAGAGCTAGCGTCTCTTGTGCCATCTACTAAAATTCATTCTCGTGTTACTCGTCATTCAATTAAGTCTCATCCTTTTTCTGTTACTGTTCCTAAGTGCTCCAAAAACTCTTATTTGTCTAGTTTTATTCCTCGAACATCAGTTCTTTGGAATTCGCTTCCTTCATCT